CCAGTCACCGCCGTGCCGGGCAGGGAGAGGGGGAACCCGCCGACTCTCTGCGGTGTTCTCAGCCACAGAGATCCCTAGTGTTCTCTGAACCGATGAGCCGCAAATGGGTCAGCCCCCCGTTGAGTGTGGGGCTCTCTGGCTCCTATCGGACCCGTCCGCACCCCTGGGTGAGTCCCCTCTTTAGGTGGAAACCAGGCAGCTGTGCCCAGTGGGGTGCTAGCCGCAGGGCCCTTCTCCCCAGGATACCCTGCGGTGTTCTCAGCCACAGAGATCCCTAGTGTTCTCTGAACCGATGAGCCGCAAATGGGTCAGCCCCCCGTTGAGTGTGGGGCTCTCTGGCTCCTATCGGACCCGTCCGCACCCCTGGGTGAGTCCCCTCTTTAGGTGGAAACCAGGCAGCTGTGCCCAGTGGGGTGCTAGCCGCAGGGCCCTTCTCCCCAGGATACCCAGCGCAATGGCCTTGCTATGGAGGGTTTCATCAAGTGGGACAAACTAGCAAAACAACTGGACCCACGTGGGTCTTAGCCTCTCTGCCAGGCTTCCCCCTAGAGCCACCCCTCTGCCAGCTGGAGCCAGGCTCTTCATCTTCATAAAGGTTCCAAACAAAAATACACGAGTGTTTGTGGGTTGCTGCCAGCTGCTACAGCCCCAGAGCAGCGCACAGGCCTGGGAAGGGCCCGGGGGACATGCACAGAGATCCCAGGGCTGCACCCCTAGCCTAGTAATAAGGCCTAGTCTTAGACAGGGCTTCCCGGCCATTGCTCTCCCAGCCCTTCTCCCCTTGTGCAGCTGCAGCAGCTAGTTCTTGGTCCGGTTCCCGGTGACATGGGAGGGCTGGCTCCTGAGTGGCACTAGCCTGGGGCCAGGGCGGTCCCGCTGTGTGCCGGGCAGCAGGCCTGGAGCCCTGGCTCTGGGGCTGAAAGGGGGCGCAGGGCGCTTGCTTCCAGGGGCCAGGGCACTCCCCTGCCAGTGGCGGGGGGGGGGCGAGGGGGGGGGGGCGCGCGGGGGG